ATTGCTACCGAACGCCGAGTGGATGTTCTACATGATGCCGTCGCACGCACCCGCCGTGAACAAGACCGTCAAGCCGATGAGCAGAAAAAGATGTGGCAGCAGATCGACCAGATGCGTGACACGCTCGCGCTCGCTGAAGCTCAGGCGCCCATCACGGACCTCACCAAGCTTGCGGACTGGGACCGCGCCCCCGACCCGACCATCTTCTCCATCGGCTGCCAGCGCCTCATCGCGCCCGACATTCTGCTTAACGACCTGCAGGAGTGGATCGCCTCCGCCAACGTTGACCGCAACGCCGTGGAGTTGCTGGGGGGCGAGCCGTCCAGACGCTTCCTTCTTCAAGTCAAAGGAGATCGTGCAGCCGCAATCCCGCGAGCTCTCGCTCTTTCACGCGCCCTACGAGATCCCGCTGGCAGGTGGAAGCGCTTTGTTTCCACCGACACGACAGGTGCCCGAGTGGATATCGACCTCAATCCCGACAAGTCTCCCAAGCAGATCCGCACCGAGATCCAGTGCAAGAAGCTCCTGCAACTGCTCCAGCATCGTTACCCCGACAAGCCATGGAGAGCCATCCGCGCCAAGGGCGAGATCCATTGCAACGCCATGCCTGTTGTGCGCCTCGACGTCAAGGGCCAGGCCGACCCCGCCATCCTCGAGTGGAACGAGCACGCGTTCGAAGGCCATCACTTCAACGAAGTGGATCGCGGCGGCGTCCTCACTGCGTTCCAGGCGCTCTTCGCGGACACTGCGTCAGCAACGTGGCGGGTTTAACCATCCCTGGTCGCGTTGGCGACCGAACGAAGACCCCGTCCCCAGCACCTTCATTACTTGGAATGCCAGAGCCCTCATGTGTCACTAGCGCCAGCGCCGCCGACGCAAACAGGCTGCCCTGCTGAAGTACATGCGCCGCCGATGCGTCATCCTCATCCAGGAGGTTCATGGCTCTGAGGCCCTGCTCCGCACGTGGGTGGACACGCAGCCGTGCCCGTGCAAGCTCTTCTTCTCCGAGTTCGTCGGCGACGATGACGCCGAGGCCCGCCCTGGCACTGGTGGCGTTGCTACGCTTGTGCCCTGGCTCACACCAATGCAGCTCGAGCAGCTTGCTCCGCACCAACTGCCTACCTTCGTCCACGAGGAGGTCGTCCAGGGCCGCATCCAGACTGTCTCCATCACCAATGCCGTCACGAACAACTCCATCGTCATCATGAATGTCCATAACCATGAGATCGATGCTCGCGGCCGCGCCCGAGTGCAACGTGCTTGGCATCAGCATCGCACCTGGGCCGAGGTCGACTACCAGCACCGCGCCTTCATCGCCATGGGTGACTTCAACACTGCCAGCCGCCCACCGAACAGCTTCCTGCAGCCCCAGCCTCAGCACGCGCGCCTTGCGCTGGACAACAGCGCCCGTCAGCAGCAGCCTTTCTGGAAAGCGCTCTTCGATTCCATGCTCGAAATTGAACCCGACTTACCGACCCGCTTCAACAAGTCAGACTTCTCCGCCTCAGCGATCGACCGCGTTTTCATCAGCTTGCCGTCCCATGCCATGCTCGAGCTCACATCGCAGATCAACATTGTACACGACCCCGCCATCTTGTCCGACTCCTTCCTCAGCGACCACGCGATCATCTCCTACACCATTGGCATCAAGCCGCGCGCGCCGACGAACGATCAGGCTATCCCCCCCGCGATCTTCCGCGACCCGAGCTACGCCAAGTACCTGGACCAACTGATCGCCCACGCCAAGACCCAGCACGTTCCCATCCAGAACCGCTGGCGCACGCACAAGCGCCTCATGGTCGAAGCCGCGAGGCTCGTCCGCGACGACTGGGTCAGCTCCATCGGGGACGGCAACAAATCCAACCATGCCGACGGACGGGTCCTCACGGCGCGCTCGATCTCGCGCTCGGTCTGGCGCCAGGATGTTGCTCTCGCTCGCCGCCTACAGTCCACCACCGAGCTTGGCGCCAAGTACCTCTCGATCACCGACGGCCTCATCACGATCATCAACCAGCCCGAGTTCGCTGACATGTCAGCCTCGCTCCACCGCGACTTCGAGGCTCGGCAACGCTCTCTGGCGCAAAGAGCGGCCCAGCGCCCCCCTGGTGCGGTAGGAGCCCTCGAGCCCGAGAAACTCCGCCGAATCTTGCGCGCCTCGCAGAGGCGGGCTCTCCTGTGGGCCCCCTGGAAGCGTCGTCTGGTCCTCCAGGGCATCAAAATCTCGGGCCCAGATGGCCCCCCTGGGGTCGCCAGAGAGAGCTGCGATATGGCTGACGCCCTTCGCACCTACTGGAAGCCCGTCTTCGCGCACAAGCTCGTCGACTCCGTCAAGGTCAAGCAGTGCATCGCCGAGCACATGCCGCTGGGGGCCACCATCGACGTGGGCGCGCCGACCAAGATGCATATCCGCGCCTTCCTGGCTCGCACCTCTCCGTCGGCCCCTGGTCCTGATTGCCTTCCTTATCGCGCCTGGCTCGCACGCGACTCGTCGCTGGACCTGCTCGAGGACCTCTCGTTCCATCTCTGCTCGAACGCCAATTTCATCCACGACCTGAACGACTCTGACTTCGCCTTCCTGCCGAAAGGGGACAACCTTGTCGGCGAGTTGCAAACCGACAGGGCGCCCGAGGACACGCGCCCGCTCTCGCTCAAGAACACTGATATCAAGGCCATCGCTGGCGCCGCCAACTTTCTCCTCAAACCCGCTGTGGCAGAGCGGACTCACAAGGCACAACAGGGTTTCGTAGTCGGCCGCAACTTCACCAAGCACATTGTCATTCTTGACGCCGAGATGCGTCGCGCTGGGATACGTCCTGATGCTGCTGATCGCCATCCTGTCTTCACCAGCTTCGACTTCGCGGCGGCGTTCCCGTCTTTGGGTCGGGTCTGGCTCTTCGCGGCTCTCGAGCGCTTCGGGGTTCCCATCGGCCTCATGAGCCTCTTCCGCAACATGTACCACGCTCCGAACAGCTTCCTAAAGGTCGACGGGATCCGCCACTTCATGTTCGCCATCGAGTCGGGCGTCGCTCAGGGCTGTCCCGCCAGTGGCTCTGCTTGGGCCATCGCGATGGACCCGCTCGTCCGCCACCTCGCCTCCTTCATCGAGCACCCCGACGGCACGCCCGACTTCGACAAAGGCTACCTCGGGGTCTGCGCGGACGACACCGGCCTGCTCACATTCTCGTTCGACACGCTGCGCAAGGCATCTGAGCCTTTTTCTGCCGCCGAGGAGCTCGCCCTTCTCGCTCTCAAACCACGCAAGTGTGTAATAGTGCCCCTGTGGGCGCCTGTCTCTCCTGCCACCACAGCCCAAACGAAAGCGCTCCTGGCCGACCTTTGCCCTTCCTGGGGTGGCTTCACGATTTCGGGGCGAGCCAAGTACCTCGGGACATTCCTTGGACCGTCCTCCTCCCTTGCCCTTCAATGGCTCGCCCCAGGGCAAAAGTGGTGGCAGCGCAGTAATTTGCTAAATCTTGTCCAGTCTGGCAGCGACGCCACTGTCCGCCTATATAACACTTCTGTCCTGTCCACGCTCAGCTACGTTGCTCAGTTCTTCCCGCTCGACTCCAAGATTGCTCGCCGTGAACTGTATGTCTTCCACAAAATGCTCAGTATGCCGCCCAACTCTTTTCGTAGGGTAGATCTCATTTCGATGGCGGAATGGAGCCCGCCACCTGTCCTTCGTTCAGCCCAAGTCACATGTGTTGCGGCGGCCATTCGTACAGCCACTTTCACACTCAGTGGAGAATGGGAACCGTTCCTCCACCGCCTGCGAGACACCGCCTGGGAGGAGAGCACGATCCAATCCTTCCCTCGGTGGGAAGCTGGGCGCTGGCCCCCCCCCTTCTGGGAAGAGGCCTCGTCCATCGTGCAATTCTACCATGCCCTGTCTAGCGGGCAGCGTGTCTCGCCATTTACCGCAGCAGCCGCGGCCCTGGCGAACCGCGCCGCACGAGCTGAAATTCGAGAGGCACCCGACGCCGACCCGTCGCGTCGCCCGAAGGTACAGAGGGCGGTCGCACTCGCGCTGCAGCGTGCCTTTTTCTCTTCGCCGTTCACAGTCACCCTCGCGAAGCGCCTTGCAGCGCGGGGCCTTCAGAATTCGCCGCCGCCCCCTGAGCTCGCCACCCGCTGGACTACTCTCGCGAAAGCGCTTGGAGAGGTCCGCCCCAGCTGGCGCTGGGCGGTTTTCAAAACGCTCAGTGGCGGGTGGACTACCACACACCGCATGCATGTACTAGCTCAGCGCTCGTGTGTATTCGGCTGCCCGAACGCACCCGATTCTTTTCCCCACTACCTCTCCTGCTCCGTCCTCCTGAGCCTCCTCTGGTCCCCCGACCCCGCTCCGCTCCTTAGCACATATGCATCGTGGGGCTTAGGCCCTGCAGCAGCGTACCCGTCCGAACCTGCCAGCGACCTCTCGTTGCGGCAGACGATTCGCAGGGTTGTGCTTGCTTTCCACATGTACAACAAAATGAAGCAACACGCAGCGCCGTCGCCAGCAAATATTGCTGCAGCGATGGCCGCAGCGAAATCACTCCTGTGGCGTTGAGCCGCTGTCTGCCGTCTCACGCCTTGCCTCACTATCTAGGCAGGCTTGCGCGTGGGCTGGGCTGACAGACGTGGCCGCCTCAAGGTACGTTCGCTCCTCCTCCTTGGGCCCTGGGAGCGACAGGGCCGTTTTTTGTTACCGGTTCCGTTTTGCCGGTTTTCCTGCTGGTTTCGGCGCCGTGCTTTGTTGGTTCACCAGTTCCGTCGCCGTTTTTTTTTTTTTTTTTTTTTTTTTTTTTTTTTTGTTGTTCTTGCCGCTTCCAGTTCTGGTTCCAATTCTGGAGCTCTTTTTGTTGCTGTTTCCGGTTGCCTTTTTTTGACCGTGTCCATCTTGAGGAGACACGTTCGGAAACGGTGAAAATAGCCTCAACCTTTCTTTCCAGGGCCTAGTAAGATCCACCGGGCCAGTGTTCCCCCCCCAGCCAGCCCCCCCCCCCTCCCCACACCAGGTTCCCTGTACTGCTTCGCGCTGATGATGCCCGACACCTACGAGGAGGCGCTGCTTCTGTGGCAGGTTCGCCGTGGAGACGCTCTCACCTCTGGGCGTCTTAGGCCCCCCGAGGGCGTCCGGAACCTCCAGGGACTCCCGGCGACCTTCGGTCGAGTCCTGAGGTGTCTCGCACCTTTCAGTCATGAGGTGTGTCTCTTGGGCGTGGGGACTGCCAAAAGTCAGGAGGGAAAGCACAAAACGCAAAAAAAATGATGGGGATCAGAAGTTCAAGTCCTGCGATTTGTGCAGATTTGACTGTATCCCCCTGAGCCCCTTGAAAAGCGGCCCAGGGGTCCCAGCGAGGGCCTTGTGGTTCAGCATCCGCCCCCATGCAGGGGCCAGTGGCCCCGAGGCGCCTCGCAGTTTGTAGCCCCCCTGCTTTCTTCTGTCCGGGCGCCAGGGCCCGCCGGCGCGATTGCGGAGGAGATGGGAAGCCGCCCATCCCCTGAGGATCCACGCAGAAGAATTGTCCTGGGGAGTTTCGTGCCCTGCCAGCACCGTCAAGGGCGACCCAGGGCGAGCAGCTGGTCCCACGGGAAGGCTGCAACTCAGGATCCGCTTCCCTCCGGACGGATTCCGGACACCCTTCGTTCATGCCAGCAGTCGGGTGGTGCAATTTTGGAGGGCCGTGCCTGTCGTGCAGATCCGTAGTTCGCCTGATACCCGAAGCGGGCTCGATGCGGGCTCGGCGCGAGCGGCGACTCGGCGGGACAGGCAGGGCCCGCCCCAAGGTGCAACACACCCACGCTCGGGATTTGCAGTTCACCTCCCCCCGTCTGGAGACTTGTTCCGCCGAGGACCTCGCGGGGCCGCGGTCCTCCGGGGGCGGACAGGCAATTACGGCAGGCTCGTGCGCTGTCGGCGCGGGGGTGTCAGGTGGAACGCCGCCAGTGGCCTGGAGTCGGGTGATCGTAAAATGACGCGAAGATCGGGACAAAATCGGATCGGGATAACTCGAAAGCTCTGAGAATCGGCGGGTTTGGAGGATGTATTGGGCGCCGCGGCCGCTCCAGAGCGTTCCGGAACGCTCTGAGAGCGCTCCGGAACGCTCTGGAGCGATTCATCCCGATCCTAGCCCTGTTTTAGATCGTTCTTTCACGGGAGAGCTTTCTTTGCATCCTCCGGGGACCTCCTGTCCTGCAAATGGCTGTCTTGCATGGTGCTCCGCCGTGGGTGCGACGCGGACTCGACACGGATTCGACACGGGTTGGGACGCGACATGGATGCAGCACGGATGGTTGGCGCGATGGGATGGATGAGGTCTCTCAAAGATGCAACATTCAGCGTCGCTTAACCGATGTTTATCACCATCTCCATCCCCAGCCAGATCCCCACCATCCCACCACCCCAGCTGGGGATGTACCCTTCGAAACCTGAAAGAAGCGGCCTGTATCCACAGCTAGGGGGGTACAGCGGCCAGTGGTGCCCAGGCCGCGCCGTTGGGGATGGGTGTCGGATAAACGATGCTCAAACGCAAGAAAGCTGCGACTGTCCAAGGTTGAGCGACCCGCGTGGTGGCAGAAGCACCAACGCGCAGAAGCCCCCACGAAGCACGAGCTTGCCGCACCCACACCCGGGTGCTGCCCGAGGCCCTCGGGTGGCACGCCTCCAGCTCGGTGCACATGGACGACAAACGAACAGCACGAACACACACCAACCCCCAGGGGCGTCGGAGGAAGAAGGACTGGCTGTGGGCATGGGTGCGGGCTGTCGGACCCCCGAGGAGGCTCGCGTACGAGCGGGGAGCCCCCATCCGACGACACGCGCCCACAGTCCCCTCCGTCCCCCCTGTGGGTATGCGTGTGGGTGTCCCGCTCGTCAGTGGACGGGCCCTAGCGCGCACAAACGAAACAAAGGTGAACGAGGGCGCGGGCATCTTCGCGTGCGACGAGGCCGCCGTGTACAGCAACACCTCGCGCGAGCTGGTGCCAGCCCCTGGACGGCCCAGCGTGACGACGCTGAGGGTCAACTCCACCTTGTCTTGCGACAGCGGCGGCGAGTTCGGCACTCACAAGAGACGAACATATCTCCAGTCCTCCCCGGGTGGGGCTTGTGCAGATGTGGTCGGAGGATCGCGCCGCCCTCGCCGATGCATCGCCGATGCGGCGCGATCCTTCGACCCCATCTGCTCCGGCTCCAGTTGGGAGGCCTCCGATATCCCGATAATGTCCCAGATCGTGCCCTCGTGGTCTGGATACCGAGGCGTGATCCCATGGGTGTTGATGTGCTCCGCCCGGGGCAGCCTTGCAGGGGCCCTTTTATCCATGGGGTCGCGGCCGAGGGGTCCAGGGCGCGGTGCCGTGGACGTGGATATGCCTACTCCGCGGCCCGCGAGGCACGGCCCTGAACCTGGACATCTTCTTCGCCGTGTGGGATGCCGTGATCGGCAACGGTCGCTACAGGAAGCACGACTGGTCGGTGAAGGCCACGGGCGGCAAACACATTGTGCGGCAAGGAGCTCCCAGAAGGAGCCTCAAGTGATTCGAGCATGTTGCAACTAACTATCTTGCAACACGTCCTACTGTATGCGGCGGCCCGCGGCGGTAACCGCCTGGCCGGCCGCCAGGCTATGGGTCGAGCCAGCTCGTCTGGCCAGCCTCGCGGGCTGGATTCCAGGGCGCGATCCTGCAGGCATGTGGTCGCTGGTCGCACGGATACGTTCCGCGCGGGGCTTCCGCGAAACAGCGCCACTTACCCGCGGGGTCGCGGCCTATAGGGACCAGGCCCGCGAGGCCGCAGACGCGGATGTGTGACTTTGCCTGCCAGAAGGTGGACCCCGACTCCGTCTTCTTCCCGCACCGGCTGCACGGCGTGCGAGGAGCAAAAAGAGAGGGCATGCACACAATCTTTCGGAGCTCCGCGCGGGCTTCTTGGATCTGCGCCGGGCCCCCTCGGCGGCACAAACGGCGCCGCCGCGGGCGCGCTCCGCGCGCCAGGGGAGGAGGGGGGGGGGTCCAGCGCGGTCGATGTGGATGTTCCTTGAAGTTCGGAAGCTGATGTTGATGTTGGCGTGCGGTGGATTTTGATGTTGCTGTTCGTTGTTGTTGATGCTGATGCTCGCGCGGGAGGGGGGTCCGCCGCGTGGAGCTCGGAAAGCTTCCGGAGGGACAGAAACACGCAGAGACACTATTCATCGTCGACTCCCCAGAAAATACGGGAAACGATGGGAAGTGGGGGGGAAGACAAGAACCCAGAAAATATGGGAAGATATGGGGCGTCTTTTTATTTGTGTGTCTTTCTTTGTGTGTCCTGGGGCCCCTTCAAAGTTGAGGCTCGTGCAGCTGGTTCCGCAGCGAGGCGTACTGGACCCCCTCGTCGACGAGGGCCGGAGCGAGGCCGGGGCGTACCTCAACAACTGCCCCTTCGGCATGCACGGGCCCGTCGAGGTGCTCTCGCTTGCCGCGGTGGACACCTGGGACGCGGGCCGGCAGGGGTGCGTGGAGCACTTCGAGGACCGCCGTGAGTCAGAGCCCCGAATCATCAGGGGTAACTCGGGTCAGGGCAAGCTCGGGTTCCTTTTTCGGGAATCCCAACCCGAGTTACCCCGGACCCGAGTTACCCCAGATAACTCGGGCGCCCAAGTGAGGCAAACGGGCCCTGGTCAGAAGAGCAGGGGGTCAGGACAGTGACAATTACCTCCTCCTGGGAGGTCAAATTCAGAATCGGCGCTGGCATGTTCCTGGTCGAAAGCCAGCCTAATCTGGGCTACTGCTGCTAAGTCTGGTTTCGTATGGGCTTCATCCGGCTTAATCCCGCTTCATGTGGCGTACTCATGGGTTTCATCCGGCCCAGTGACCCCTAATCAGGCTTAGTGTGGCACGGACTCGTTCTGGCGAAAACCCCCCGGAGTTGCTTCCTAACTTGCGTTCCAAGGTTTCCGTGATCTCCCAACGAGGAGTTCGTGGAGTTCAGTCGGGCCTGTCCCTCTACAGGGGAAATATTCCAGAATAGTGAAACAATAGAATGGGGACGATTCATTTTACCACTTTTGAGCGTTCTCGGCATCTTTTTTTATACTATTTTTGAAGTCTCGTCCGAAATCCGCCTGTAGGGGGACACGCCCGACCTAATCGTGAGGCCTATTTGATCGGGGGTGGACAGAACCCCCAACAGTGAATCGTCGATTAGTGAATTGTCCGTTTTCGGTTCTCGAGAGGGCGCCGCGGCCGTCATTTTCCAGGCTTCCGCCCGCCAGGTTTGGGCCCGAGGTCGTTTTCACTAAACCACGTTTTACTAAAGGGAGTTCTGTCCATCCCCGATTTGAAGCCGAATCGCATCATGACGTCTCCCTCGGCCTGCATGCCGGAGGGGGACGGGTCCTGCGGCCATCTCGCCGCCGTCGGCCTCTGCACGTGGCCCTTTCCCGCCGGGTCCCGGCGGCCGCTGTTTTTTTTCGTCGGGCCCGTCCTTGCACAGGAGGAATATTCCAAAATAATAAAAAACAAAAGAAATAGTCTTGGAACTATTTTTTTCGGGGGGGCAATTTTTTGGAGCATTTCTTGGCGGTTCTGCATCTTTTCTTACCAGATCCGCCTGTAGGGGGACCTGCCCGACCTAGCCCAACGACTCGGGACTGAGAGAGAGCTGGTCCTGGGGGAGGGCCCCGGGGTCTGGGACTTGTTTCCCTCAGGACCCGCGTCTTGAAAACATAGGGACGGAGGTCGTTCATAGTCTTCGGCCACTCGGAACCCTTACCAGGCCTCAGGGTCGTCAAAAACCATTCGGGGTAAGAAACCGGTCCATGGGAAGTTGTCGAGAGGTCGGGGGCCCGCGTCTCGAACAAATCGAGACACCAGTCAGACCAACTATGGGGACAAATCGCTCTCAGGGCGTTCTGGAACGCTGTGGAACGACCGCGGCGCCCGATGATTACATCTTCCAATTCCGCCGCCAGACCTCTGAGATCCCCGATTTTTTCGATCTGGGTTTGTCCTGTTCCTGGCTTCGTTTTACCCAGTGACCCCTCGCCAAGGTGACCTGTGGTGACCGGCCCACCGGAGGCAGTCCCCCGCTCGCCGAGTGCGATGTCGTGGCAGCGGCTTGGGTTGGTCTGCCACGTAGCCGTACAGTGCTGGTTTCAATACATGCTCCGCATGCGGATCATGTATAAAAAATGCAGGGATGTAGTATGAAAAACAACGATGCGTTCATGCGTAAATTTATCCCTGGATTAATCATGTATAAAAATCTTATATGTTTACAACTCCGATGTATTAAACACTGCCCTGTAAGAGGAGCTGTGCAACGGCTCGTGCCTGTGGGGCGAGGACATGTTCCTCGACCAGTGCCTGCAGCTGCTCAACGCCACGCGCGTCGACGACTTCGGCCACCTGCTCGAGGATCGGGCCGGACGAAAAGGGGGGATTGGGAAAGGGGGGGGGTACGAACTTTGCTGCATGCAGCTGGTGTCGGCCCCACCGAGTGGCCCATTCCTCGATACATAGCCGCCTCCGGCGCCGGGAGGCGCCGGGAAAGTCAGCTACGTGAGCTGATTCTCACCCCCCCCCCCTTTGCTATCCCCCCCTTTCGCCCGACCCGAGAGGACCACTGCGACCCCCCGGAGGGCTGGCAGGAGCCCGGGGGCCTCGGAGCGGCGTGGTGCCGTCACTGCGTGGTTGGCCAGAGGGGATTCGATGCGACCGCGTGGTTTGGGGACTCGGGTTGTGAGCACCGAGGAGGAGAGGAGGAGGAGGAGGAGAAGGAGGAGGAGGAGGAGGAGGAGGAGGAGGAGGAGGAGGAGGAGAGGAGGAGAAGAAGGAGGTGGAGGAGGAGGAGGAGGAGGAGGAGGTGGAGGAGGAGGAGGAGGAGGCGGAGGAGGAGGAGGAGGAGGAGGAGGAGGAGGAGGCGGAGGAGGAGGAGAGGGGAGGGGGAGGGGAGAGGAGGAGGAGGAGGAGAGGAGGAGGAGGAGGAGGAGGAGGAGGAGGAGGAGGAGGAGGAGGAGGAGGAGGAGGAGGAGGAGGAGGAGGAGGAGGAGGGAGGAGGAGGTGGTTTGGGCACTCGGGACGGGCGCCCACCTTCTGTCAGGTTGCCAGCTCGGCCGTCCTCCCGGCCGCCACGAAGTTTCGCCCCAAATCGGCCTTCCAACTGCCTCGCCCGGACTGCCGGGGCCCCATGTTCACCGCAGAGATGCAGACGCCCCCAGGGCGTACAGGACTCGGGCGACCGCGAGGATGTCTCGGGCGACTAGGGTTGAGTCCGACCTGTCCCTCTACAGGAGGAAAATTCAAAAATAGTCAAAAATAGTCAGGGGATTATTTTTTTAGTATGTTTTAATATGTCAGGAGTATTTTACTATTTTTAATTTTCCGCCCAAAATCCCCCTGTAGGGGGACAGGCCCGGCCTAAGGCTAGGGCCGCCAAGGTTTGGGGGCGGCAAAGAGAGGGGTGATGACCAGGGGGGGTGATATCATGGCGGTGGCCATGATATTTCCCAGATTTCATGGCGCCTCTTCTTATTTCGATGCGTTCCCTGGCCCCCCTCTGGGCCGCACACATGCCGCCAGCCATGATTTGCACCCCCCCCTCTTGGACACCCCCCTCCCCCGAAGGGTCCCAAGACCGTGCGGCGTCGGTTCGAGCTTCTGGTCGCCGCGCCGTGTGCCGCTGCCCCGCCTGGGGACCCCCCGAGGACTGCGCCAACGGGAGCGCGGCGGCCTTCCACCCCTACAAGAACGTCTCGGCGTTCAGGATCGGGGAAGGGCAAGGGCCAGTTGAGGCAGCGACGCGCCCTCCCTGGCGTTTTTTCTGGCTGTTGGTTTTTCTGTCGTTGCCTCTTCCTCGCCGCCACGCAGGATCCGCCTCGCGAGCGTCGTGACTTTCAGAGAGCGCCCACTCAGAAAATAGTCGACCGAGGAAGTCTTGACAAGTTCACTCGACGTTGGCACTCCTTGGAGCTTGCCGGTGCAGGCCCCTGTCGTTTTCGCTCCTCGGCGTGCGTTCCGGCGGACACTCGCCTTGGCATCGCTCGGACGGCTGCATTTTTTCTCGGCGAGAACCATCGAGGACCATCCCTGGACCATCGGGCAAAAAAAAACACGCACGACATCGAAACATGCACGGGAAAAGGACGTCCGAGCGACGGCAAGTTTCGTGTGCTGTGCAGGACGTCGGCTAAAGCGACCCCCCGGGTGGGGTCCACTCGCCGCGCGGTGCCGGGCGCCCGGGGAGTGCCCGGGGCAGCTGTCAGGAAAGGGCGCTCTGCTACAGAGAATAATTCTGTCCGCACCCGAGAGAATCGGACCAGCATCGGCCACGCGCAGAGGGTAGGGGACCAAAAAGTGGCATAAACATAAAAACTTGGAGGTCCGCGCGGATTTCTCGGATCGGCGCTGGGGCCCCCCGGCGGCGCCTCCGGCGCCGCCCCTGGCGCGCTCCGCGCGCCAGGGAGGGAGGTCCAGCGCCGATCCGAGACATCCGCGCGGACCCCCGAGTTTTTATGTTTCTGCCACTTCTTGGTCCCCTATAGAAGGGGCAGGGGGAGGGGGGAGGGCTTCTGAGAAGCCCCCCCCTGCTTCTCAGGAGGCGCGGGCCTTGTCTGTGGATGTAAGGCCGGTGCCTTCTGAGAAGCAGCCTCCTTCTAAGAAGCCTCCCCCCTCACCCTGATTATTACCCACCTCCGCGCGCCGCCAGCGAATCCGATCCACACCCGAGAGAAGCGGGCCAGTGCCCGGGGAGGGGGGAGCCGCCGTTGCCTCCATGGGCCTCCCTTCGACAGGACGTGCTTCGATCGCGCGCTCGAGGCGGGCGGCGACGACGCGGACACGCCCCGGAACAGGGTCGCCCGCGTCGACGTCGCCCTCCGGCGGACGAGCCTGTCTAAGACCTAGCGGGCCAGAGATCTGCTGCTGTTTGGTCCTCGTCAGCCCAGGCGGGGGGGGGGGGGGGGGGGGGGGTGGAGGGGGGAGGATCGACGCAGAAGGTGCCACAGACACGGGCTTCGGGAAGTCCGTGGCGGATGATTTTGGATCGGCGCTGGGCCCCCCCGGTGCCGCCCCTGGCCCTTCTCCTTGCGCCCGCGGGTGGGGGGTGCAGAGCTCCCGATGCTTCGGGGGTGGCCGGACCTCCTCCTCCTCCTCCTCCTCCTCCTCCTCCTCCTCCTCCTCCTCCTCCTCCTCCTCCTCCTCCCTCCCTCTCCGCCTCCTCCTCCTCCTCCTCCTCCTCCTCCTCCTCCTCCTCCTCCTCCTCCTCCTCCTCCTCCTACCCTGACACGTCGATTAGTGAATTGTCCGCTTTCGGTTCCCGAGGGGGCGCCGCGGCCGTCACTTTCCAGGCTTGCGCCCGCCAGGTTTGGGCCCGAGGTCGTTTTCACTGAACCACGCTTTACTACAGGGGGTTCCGTTCATCCCCGAAGTTTCTCGACTACACGTAAGGGTGACCTTTCGCCGGAGTGACCTTTGGGTGCGGGTCCAATGGGGCCCCCCGATCGCCGAGCGCGAGGAGATAGCAGCGGCTTGCGCGCCTGGCGGCGTCCCTAAAGGGCCATACCTCCCGTGGCCGCTCACGAAAGGTCACTCTTGCCTAGGCTTGTGGAGTGCGATCAATGGAGAGGACGCGTGCTGCCAAATAATTTCCAGACGTCTAATACATGCTTCAAACATGTTTCAAATGTGTAGAAACCATGTTTGAAACATGTTTAGATCATGTTTCCGACATTTTAGAGACATGTTTAATTCAATGATCGGATTGTCAGAGTGTCCATTGTCATGGCATCCACAAGCCTAGGCTCACTCTTGCGTGCAGCCGATTGACGTTCGTGCAATTATTTTTGGCTCCAGAGGAGCGCCGCCGCCCGCTTCCAGACCCCCGGGGGCCTTCCGACCGAGGTCCTTGTTCTTGCTTGTGCTCGGCCTCTGCGGGGCCCTCTCTCCGGGCCCAAGGGCAGCGAACAAAAAATAATGCAAGGATGAGAAGCTGGCCTTTGGAAAAGGTTCGGGGCCTCTTCTGGGCGCCCGCATCGAAAGCATGATTGTTAGGGGGGACGCCCGCCGATCAGAAACTGCAGCAGGCGCACCACATAAGAGGCCAGCCTGCCAGCAGGTGCAGCGTTCGTTTCTTCTTCCCCCGACGGCCCCGGTGGCCCAACAGAGAGTCCTCGCTGGAAGGGGCACCATCTACGTTAGAGGAATGTGCCTTTACACCAGATCTGCTGTAGCAGAGACGGGCTGGAGCGCCGTGTTGTTTTTGCTTGTCCAGGGCGACAAGGCGTGGGGCGGGAAGGGTGGTGTCCTCACCGAGCTTCCCCAGTAGTTAGGATATGTTGTATTCGTAGTTTTTCTCCGACGCATCGGATCCTGCGCAGGCGAGACATTTTGCATGTCTGCCTCTCTTCGTTTTTTCTTCATCTATTTCTACGCATCGCGTTCACCTCAGTCTTGCTCTAGCGAATCTTCGCTGAGTGCACGAGTACTTGTGCAGCTTAGTTCTCATCCGCGCCGCGTTGGTTGTGTAAACCAGGCTGAGCCTAAGGCCCACCTTGGCTGCAGACGCCCAGGGGTGGGAGTACTCCCCCTCTCCGTTCTTCTCCTCGCCCCCTTCTCCCGGAGCCTCCACAGAAGAACCCCCGAGGGCGCTCCGTCCGAAAACTTGTTAGAATTCCCACGCTGTCTCCCCCCCTCCCCCCTCGATAGAACCTCGAGGGGTGCTCCAGGCCCCCAGAGAACCCCTTATCTTCGCCAATCCATGCAAATGATGCGGATATGCCAACGCGTGCATGCATGTTCAGGACGACTCTTTCCGAGAGATTGAACTCAAGCGAGCCAACTTGAAGTCGCGGGGCTGAGTATGAGCGAATCTGGGTTGGACTGAGTCCAGGTATGATCGGCTGAGTGTGAGTGCAAATGTGTGTGAGCAAGTCTGCGCATGAGTTGCTCTGAGTACGAGTGAGTCCGAGTGTGAGTGAGTACGACTATGACTTGACATGGATATGATCGGCAGTCGGGTCTTGGTATGAGTGGTTATGGATAAGCATGCCATCAGAGCGTGTGGCCATGGCTGGGTCTGAGCGAAGGTGAGCACGATAAGGTATGATTGAACATGGGTGAGGCTGACTACGAGTGGGCGTGAGTGCAAATGGATCGGGGTATGTGTAAATCTCGGCACGAATGAGGGAGTTCTACACTTTCCTCTGGCTGTCTGGTGGCTTTTGGAGCTCCTGGGGGTTCCCGGAGCCTGGAGCCTCCTGGAGCGCCCTGGGGCTTTTTGAATCTCCCTGGAGCTTCCAGATGCAGCGCTCCTGGCCTACCTGCAGTGGGAAGCCCACGGACAGTGCTTACCCTATCGCGGTGATGATGGGGCCCTGGGCAGAGTCATTTCGTTCCCCCTCCCCCCACGTAGCTTACGCCGCATAGCTTCTTACACCACACAGCTTGGACGACGAAGCTTGCAGCTCATACCTTGCACCACACACCTGTTGCACCACATTTACACCACATAGTTTGCACCACATAGCTTACGTATCCACACTGCAACACCATCAGAGTGAAGGGGCCGAGTGGTCATTCTCCGTCCCTGGGCGCGTGGCTGAAGTTGGGTTCCGCGTTGCGGATTGTTGCTGCGATGTTCAGTTGATGTTGCGCAAAAGCTTCTTGTCTAAAGAATAATGAAGGTTGATTTACCCCCAGTGCACATAACGTTTTTCAATTTAGGTTATCCTGCCGGCGCTCCCACCGTTTTTTACACAAAACATCGAGTCTTCTTCGACAGAGTGCCCGTGGCCTTTGTTCAGGCACCGCACCCTCGACGCTCAGGAATCGCGCTCTTGCGCTGGCTTTCGCCACGATGTATTTCGGAATCGCGCTATCGCTCGAGACTTCCTCGCGATTCATGCAGGACGCACGCGTCAGCAACGCGCCTACTCGACGTGGCCACCTGGGCCCTCCTTCCCGACCCGCCCGTTAGGGTCTACACGCCCGATCGGCCCGTCTGGTTCTGTTACGTGTTTTCTGCTCTTAACCCCTAGCCCCCCTCCTGCTACTCTCGTGCTCCATCCTCCTCCCTCCCCCGTGTCCCTTCCATCCATCCGTCCCTTCTTCCCTTGCCTTAGGGACTGCACCAAATACACATTGCAGGTAAGAGAAAAAATACCCCCAAGGGGGTACCATCGAAGACGAAGAGGGCGGGTATCGAGTGTTTGGGATATACGTGCTGAGTGGCCCGCGAGCAGACAAGAGCGAGCAGTCGTAGCATGATTGTTGTTGTTGTTGCTGGTGTTTGGGATGTTGCTGCTGCTGTAGTTATCCAGAGGCCAACAACCTAACCTGAGGCACAATACTTCCCCTTGTTAAGCATGAGTGCGAGCCCCAGGAGGAGCACTTGAATCGCGAGGAAGTCTCGAGCGACAGCGCGTTTGCCAAATATATTGCGAGGGAATCCACAACGAGAGCGTGACTCCTGAATGTCGAGGGCGCGGCATCCACAGTGCAAGGAAGTCCCACGCGAGAGCACCATTCTTGAACAAATTGTGAGGGCGTCCCGCGCGAGAGCGCGTTCTGGGATACACTGTGGGGAAAGATTTGGCGTCACCCGTTGTTGTATTCTCATTATTGAAAATGATTTTTGTTGACGTCCCCCCTCTGGTGACCACTGTGTCTTTCAATTGAAGTGCTTCCCCCGGGGCTCGAACCCTGTTTTTTATTTGGCAAATTCACTAGGCTCGAACTGTGCCCCTGGCCTTTGGATTACAACCACAACGGCTCCCGCCGAATACTTCCTCATACTTTAGCCAGGACCCCCCGCTCCCGCCTGAGACTTCCTTTCATTTTACTCAGGAATCGTGCTCTCGCTTGGGAATTCCTTGTAATTTATACAGGAATCGCGCTCTGGGCGCTCTGGAGTCGCGCTCTCGCTGGAGACGCGCTTGCAATTTACTCCAGAATCGTGTTCTTGCGTTGAAGCTCCCCGCAATTTACTCCAGGGCCGCGCTCCTGACACTAAGGCACCCACAAGTCGCGCTCACGCTTAGAACTCCCTCACAGCTTATTTCGAGGAATCGGGATCTCGCTGCCCTTCGTGGCCCCGTTGCAGACCGTCGTGGCCCCCTTGCTGCTCTTCGTGAACCCGTTGCAGCCCGTCGTGGCCCCCTTGCTGCCCTTCGTGGCCCCGTTGCAGCCCATCGTCGCCCCCTCGCTGCCTTTTGTGGCCCCGTTGCAGCCCTTCGTCGCACTCTCGCTGCCCTTCGCGGCCCCGTTGCAGCCCTTCGTGGCACCTTCGCTGCCCTTCGTGGCCCCGTTGCAGACCTTCGTGGCCCCCTCGCTGCCCTTTGTGGCCCCGTTGCAGCCCGTCGTGGCCCCCTTGCTGCCCTTCGTGGCCCCGTTGTAGCACTTCGTGGCCCTCTCGCTGCTTTTTGTGGCCCCGTTGCAGCCCTTCGTAGCCCCCTCGCTGCCCTTCGTGGCCCCGTTGCAGCCCATCGTGGCCCCCTCGCTGCCCTTTGTGGCCCCGTTGCAGCCCTTCGTGGCCCCCTCGCTGCCCTTTGTGGCCCGCTATCTGCCTTTTGTGGCCCCGTTGCAGCCCTTCGTGGCCCCCTCGCTGCCCTTCGTGGCCCCATATATGTATGCCCTTCGTGGCCCCCGGTTGTTCGCGCCCTTCGTTGCCCCGTATGCATGCGCCCGTCGTGGCCCCGCTGTCACCCTTCATGGCCCCCTTGCTACCCTTCGTGGCCCCGTTGCTTCACGTCCCATCTGCGGCCCAATATACGTATGCCCTTCGTGGCCCCCGCTCGTTCGCGCCCGTCGTTGCCCCACAGTCATGCGCTTCGTGTCTCCGCTGTCGCCCTTTGTGGCCCCGTCGCTGTCATACGTGGTCCCGTTGCTGCTCTCAGTGGCCCCAGCGTTGTTTTTAGTGGCCCCGCATTATCTTCCCTTCGTAGCCCCC